AAAGTGAAGTCGTTCTTTTATGCGCTTAATATTAGTGAACGTGACGAGGAGAACATTTTGAACGTGGAAAGGGCTCTGTTTGGTCTAAAACGTAAAGTTTCAACAAACCAGTTGTCCATTAAAGACTTTTTTGGTAAAAAGAAGTAACTTTGAAAGAGAAACATTGTTTTTTTTAAATTTTTAATGCTTTCCCGCACCTATCGTTTTCCCGCATTCATCGTTTTTATTTCCCACCCCCGCCGAAGACGATGCATCGAGGTTTCACTGTACTTGATAATGCTCCATACCACAGTGTACAAGCAGATAAAGCCCCATCAAAATATTCAGTTAAATCTGAAATGATCTCATGGTTACAGCGGCACAGTTTTCTGTGATCCAGCTATGAGAAAAGGCCAACTGTATGACCTAATACTGACAAGGAAACAAAAGAAAAAAATTTCAAAATTGATCAGTTACTAAACGCCCATGGTCACATTGTAGTTAGGCTGCCTCCATATATGTGTGACCTTAGTCCAATAGAACTAGCATGGTCTAAGGTAAAAAACTATGTTCGCAAGAACGTGACAGCAGATCTGTCTTTGAAGCAGCTGCTGGATTTAACAACAGAAGGGATTGCAATTGTGACTGCAAAGGATTGGGAAGGATACTGCCAACATGTGGAACAACTGGAACAACAATACTGGAAACGGGACAGAGTTGATGCTGACGTGATCGACTCAATAATTATTTCCAATCCAAATGACAGTAGCGATGATGAAGAGACTTCTTGTGAAGATGTTGAGTCTGAAGAAGCAACTGACTTTTCTGACTCCAAGCTCGCTCGGCCACTGTGAGGTAATTTTAAAGCTATACAAATTAGAACTTATGAAAGCCTTTTGTCTGTTGTTCCTTCAGTGGTTGTGGAATGAATGCTTTTAGGTTGGCTAGTAGCAGCTCGTCACTCACCGCAAATTCTTGTGCATGCGCGTATATCACATTCCTACCAGAGATTTTCTCGTGATCTGTGAACTGTACAGCCATTAATGACAATTAAGCAATGTGTAACTTCAGCTTTCAGGTGACAGACGTCTCAAATGTATGGTGTTAACTAACTTTTCACAAACACTGCACATCAACAATAGCTGTATAAATGAAAAATATATAGAATACTGGTAAAATACTGAATGACAGGCTCAGTGTTGGTCAAAAAAGAAAATACAGATACATCATCAATTGGTAATTGTCAGAGTCAAGTATGGTGAAGGCCTAGTCTCTGGCACCTCTAAGGTAGCTGAGAAGGTCTCATGTGGCTATCGTGAAGCTACCACAGACTGAGCAAATAAACAGTGGATTCTGAACTTGCTTTCAAGAAACAATTAACCTACACAAAAAAGTGATTCGATGGATAGAGAGACTTGGTTGTCAAATGACCCACCTACAGTGGATAGTTTCCGAGGAAGAAGAAAGTAATTCAAATTACACTCCCATCTCATTAGTGCCAAAATTCCAGTCAGCAGACAGTCAGTCTAGATGTGATGAGAAAAATTCTTGCCCCTGGAAAGAATCGAACCTTGGCCATTCAGACCATATCCAGTCAATTATCTGCCAAGCTATCTAATTCCACTGAGCAAAGTGTGCCTTTTCAGAGGCTAACAGTCATTCAGTTAAAAAGATTCCTGCCTTTTATGGAGTCTGAAGGTTCAATACAACATTCAGAAGAGACTGCTATTGAAGCCAATTTAACCCAGACCACATTGTATGAACCTAATTCTTTCTGTTATTCCCCCATCCGTGCCTAGGTCTCATATGCGGTCTATTCCAATTCTATTTCCAAACCAAAATTTTGTGTGCATGTCCCTCCAATCTCATCCTCCTTGATCTGATCACACTAATAATCTAATAATACCTGGTAAACAGTACAAATTATGAAGCACCTCGCCATAAAATGTTCTTCAACTCCCCTTTCTCAACTCCCCCCCCCCCCCCAATATTCTCCTTGGTACCTTGCAAGTAAAAGTAAAGCTATCCTGCTATATGCCATGTAGGCACTTGGGGGCAGAGGTGTTACAGCTCCTGCTTATTCTTAACCTCAGCACTATACAGGGGCACTTTACCCCCCCAGGAAAGGACCCCAGTACCCATTAGATAGGAGGTTGGGTGGGCCCCAGAGCCAGTCTGGATGCAGAGGCTACAGGACATATCCTCTACTGCTGGCAGGTAACAAACCCCAGTTGTTCTGTCTGTAGTAAGTCACTATACTGACTGAACTACCCCAGTAAATTGGTAAATTGTACACCCTCAATCTGTGTTCTTCACTTAGAAAGACACTGAATCAAGAAACAAACATCTTTAAAGGACAAATATGCAAACTTCACACTTTCCAAAATTATAAATTACTATCTCTCTCCACCACACTTTTCCTATATATTTTACCTTGCACAAAGCCTAAAAAGGTCATCCACTGTATCAGGATGATTCTTCAGTCCATTTGCTTCTTGTAATATTATAAATGTGGGTACTAAAAATGCCTGTAACATGTCTAGTAGTCCCTGCACACAGCCAGGTTCAGTGGCATATTCATCTACAAGAATGCTCCCCAAGTACAGGAAACAGCTGTGTTGGTGCCTCTGATAAATACTCACAATCTGCAAGAAAAAGAACATTTTAGCTGTTACAGAGTGTGAAACATAAAACACTGAAGCCAAAGTCTAATGCTGACAAATATTTGCGTACATACCGTACTTTGCATGGCTGTGGCCTAAGTCATTACACCTATTTGAAATAAGTAAAGTTTCTTCCTCCTGTTATAATGATACAAATCTTGACTCATAAGTTTACTTAACCCTTTACATCCCAACCCCGAGTTAACTCAGAAGGCTAACATGGCTTCCGCTGTCCCAACCCCAAGTTAACTCGGAATTGAAATGTTGCGTCATGTCCCACTCTCATGTATATTCTGGAGACGTAGTTTGATAGTTTACCACTAGATGAAATTAATGACAATCGTTCTACGTACAGTAGACAATTCTATAGATCGCTGCACTTGAGATATCGATGTTTTTGTGTGATCATGATTTTTCTTGACAGCTGCCTGCTGTCTGTCAAAAAGGTTTCAAGTAGTAAAATTAGCATGACTGATGATGAGATTTTAGATGTTTTAGGTGACGATAATGTGTATTTTATGAAAATAGCGATTATGACTTTGCTATCGACGATATTGTCGAAAGCAATGACGAAAGTGATGATAGAGAAAGAGAAGAAAAGGAAGAAGACAACAATGACGAGGCTGCTCCAACTTACTTTAAAAAAAAAAACAAAATGAAGGTTACAGCCACAAAATGTAATTCCACGTACAATACGGGTGAATGACACGAATTTTGTGATACAGAAGCATGATATTGACCGATCCCAGTGAGTGATTAGAAACCTGGGTTGGGACATGCGCAAAGTGAGTTAAAACTCGGGAGTTAAAGGGTTAATAACTGCTGTTTCAACTCACATGTTATGTGGCGTTAAATAAGATAAGAAGACGGTAATGAATGGTGGGAAAGTAAGGATTTGGAAGGAAACAATCTTGACCTCTTCCAGCTTTCACCAAAGGAAAACCAAGGCAATTTTTTTCAGAGAAACCAGTAACCTAACAATCAAACAGGATACTTTGTAGATAGATGTCTAGAGCATTACCACTATACCAACTGAATCAGTATGTGATGAGATAATGGTAACTCTAAAAGTTGTTATTTAATCCTCCAAAATAGAAATTAGAACTGATGTATCATTTTTTCATATGGAAAGGAATGAAACATCTTATGGCATACAAACAATTATAAGACCTAGCCATACATATCAATTAATATATTGATATTAGTACCTGTTTAACAAGTGGCTCCAAAAGGTGAGCTGACTGTTTACCTACACACCGAACTGCAAATCGCAGACATCTGCAACATCGCTCCATCACTCGTCCATCGGCCTGATATTTGGTGCAAGCATTTGACAAAATGGGCCACATCTGCAAAACATTAAACATACAGAATGTTACAAACAATATATATATACACATCCAATGAATAAAATAAAGTTGGTCGTCTGTTAAGCGTAGACCACACTATGTTCCTCCAATAAACACAACACATGGAGATCAATAACAAGGTGAATATTCCATACTATAATGTTTATATATTTTATGGGACATATATGTACAGAAACAGCCATCATGACTACACACAAGTTTTATATTGTCATCGGTTCAGAGGAAATCTCTTAACTAGTTAATGTGGGTGTCACCGCTGCTCACGCTCTACTTTCTATCAGCTTTACAACAAGAACATTGCTCCATGGAGTTAGTTACTGGCTCAGAAAAAATTATTTCTATCCCCTAGCATATTACATTAAATACTTTAATAACATATTATAACAGTAGGTTGCCACAAGCTGATACAGACTCCTCCTCTCCACCCAACATTGTGGTAGCACCATATCTGACAAATCTGATGTCATGGAAGCAATGAAAAAGTTATTTAGAATGAGAAAATGACAGTAGTATTTTGTCATTGAAATCTTGTGTTACATTCATTACATATTTAATATCTAGTGTGTAATGGCAATCAGCACTTTTATGGGCTGCTCCAGTATTGTTGCTGACATCAAAATTCTAATAAAAAACCTGATTTGAGGCAACAAGCAACAGCTATTTTGCAGGTTCTTGGTGGTGATTGTAATGGGAGAGTTATATTTTAAAGTATATTAATTCCATTGTAATCCCAAAACAGAGATAAGAATGCACTCTTTAATAAATTATGCAGCTTGGCACTAATAATATTAAACTTACTGGTTACAAGCTTTAACCTTTCCCCTGACAAATATTAAGGAGGGGCCTGCACAGACTGCTTCACTGTGTTTACTGTAAACTGCATGGAGAATAATAATTCAAAATGCATAACATTTTTTATTTTTTAATAATAAAATGGCAGAACAAATGTATTACAAAGGAACTATTATATTAACAAAGAACTGAAGAAGAATGAAGCAGACAAAATATCTCATTAACATAACGAACAAAAATGTTACTTCAGGCTGAAGTAAAAAATTCTGCATGTACAGAAGTTTAATGAATACATATTGCAATACATACTGCAGCAAAGTAGTTATTAGTGCAGGGACTGTTACTTAGGAACAGCAGAATATGATATACAGTAGTATTTTGGTCACCTCTGTAATAACACTCTGGCAAGGATGAACTGCTCCATTCTCCACATGTGGCTTTGTATGCCTAAATATAGCTGCTAGTCTGTCTAACCATAGTGCAGGATCCAACTTGGTTCCTCTCTCAGTCTTCACATCATTCTAAGAAACACACAGAAGAAATATTGCTAAGCTGATAAAAATAGTGACTAAATGCAAAAAAGATGTTATACACAAATAAATGCCAAGAAACTGGGAATACTTTAATAAAACTGTCTTAGAAGAGATGAAGTAACAAAGCATTACAAAATATTACATAATAAGGAACATCATAATTTGAATTCATCCCCAAAGTTCATTATATTAAGGATGAAATGGGTAGTATACATGGAGAAAATTAGCTATGTGTATAAAACTAGGTTAGGAAACTTTATGACCATTTTTGAGACTTATACATGGATGGGAGAATATTAAATAGGTTTTGGAGAAAAATAGTGTGAAGGTATGTGAACTGCATTGAAATGGCTCTGGAAAGGATTTTCTTCAATACTGTGAAGAGCCTCAGGGTCCCACAAAGTATATTTCTTGACAAACTAAATAATGACAATATTTTCAAGAAGACCCCATGCCAAATAGCTTGTTAGTAAGTGAGGTAGCCAAAATTTTCTTCAAATTGTTTGCCAAAATTAATAGTGACAGTTTAACTGCTAGATGGCTCTGGCAGTCAAATCAGGATTGAGTATAAATTGTGCAGAGTCAGTGGGCTGGTCACTGTCAATCAGGAACGGTGTACTACTCTATAAGCAGCTCATCCGTCCCATAATGGATTACGCATGCCCGATCTGGAGGTCAGCTGCCCACAGCCACGTCCAGAAGCTGCAAGTTCTGCAATCCAAGTGTCTTCGAATTGTTACTAACGCGCCCTGGTACGTTAGTAACAGGCAAATACATGAGGATCTGGGGGTCCCTTTCTTTGCCGACCACATCAGAGCACTAACTGAGAGGTTTGACTCGAGGTTAGCTGGTGTGGGGAACCCCTTAGTTCGGCAACTCGGAAGACACTCGTGCCGAATGAGGGCTGCCAGAGTTCACCCAAGGGCAACCGAGGGCGACTGATGTTCAGCCGGCCAGCCGAAGCCATCCCCAAAAGACGGCCAAGTCAGCACAACGAGTGGTTAGACTACTCGGCTACCCTGACTGAGGTTTTCCGTGCTTTCCTCAGTTGTAAGGCGAATGCCAGGGTATAACTTAATAGGGCCACGGCCCGCCACCCTTCCCCCCGATCATGGAGGCCATCAGCTGAAGTGATCTTCCCCCCATGCCGCAGAGGCCTTCAGCCGAAACGGCCCCTCCCTCTCTGGGTTCATACCCCAGAGACCCAACCAACCAAATTCCTTCGACAACTTGCCTGACAGGATAACCTCCCATCAGCAGCAACAAATCCCAGTTTGAATGGTCGAGGCTCCCGCCACGACGAAACCCCGTTAGCGTTAGCAAAATTTCCGTTCTTATATTACGACCGTTTACCATTTCCAGCAATGCGTCTTGTGCGCAGGAATGGTTTCACCTAGGTAGGGACGATGCTTGCGCTTGCGCAGGCCTCTGCCCTCAGTTAGCTTCTTTGGTTGGTTGGTTGGTTGGCTGGTCACTCACTACTCATACATGCACACTTCAAGACCAAGAAACCTCCAACAAAGGAGACGGCAAAAACTCACAACCGGGTTGTAGAGCCAAGAAACAACAACAATGGTGACAGTATAGTCAAACATCAAAAAGCTGCGTGACATGCGAAGAGAGAAGTTATACAGTATTTCTTTCATGTCATGTCTCAAGAAAACATTAAAGTACACAAGACCTGCTTACCTAAGTAACTTAAATAAAGAGTTTTGGGCAACCTTATTGGTCCCATGAGCAAAAAATAATACACAAAAATATATAAATATTAAAAGTTTATGAAAACTATTTTTGGGGTATAAATATAAACACCATAAATAACACAAAAATTCAATTTTAAAGGGTTCTGATAATGGTGGATTACTCTTAAAATTATTCACTATCTGGACTTTTTCCATCATCCTTGTTTGAAATAAGAAACCACAGCATCTTGGAAACTGGTTCTGTTTCCGTCTTCAGGCACGAGGTACCTACTCAGATGGGTCCGTCAGATAGAGCTAGTCTCCATCACTAGACCAGAGTTGGACCAAACTGAGTAGGTACCTCTCACCAGAACACGGGAACAGAGCCAGTTTCTGAAACGTCATGGTTTCTCCTTGAAAACAAGGATGATGGAAAAAGTCCACATAGTGAATAATTTTAACAATACAAAAATTCTTTTATAAGGCAGAAAAGAAATTAAAGATAAGAGTTTTAACTCACCTCTACAAGCTGGCACAAAGGATTTATTTGAAACCAACAAATTTCTTTCATTGCACGCTGAATCTGATCTGGGGGCATTTGACCCAAAATGACAGAAACACCTGCAGCAAAGAAATAATGTCTCTTTACACTTTGAAAAGAAAATTAACATTCATATGAGAACTTGGAACAAAATAAAATAAATTCAGTTAAGGTAATAGCACATCTGAGGGAGATGTTGGTAACTTATATAAATCTATGAAGTCATAAACTTGGAAAATTATTGAAATTTATAATTTAAACCTACGTTAACCCTATCCATAAAGATTTAAAGAGATAGATGGATGTATATGAATCCCATACCAACAAAAGCAGGGTGTATGACAAGTCAGCCACAAGTCACACTCAGAAAATACAAACACAAATAAACACAGTTAAACAAAATTTCCTGGAACAAAATACAGAAATGGACTGAAGTGCATATACATTCACATTATTAAGAGTTGCTTATCAATTTTACATTGTATTCAGAGATAGTTAGAATTTCACTACACTAAATAATATGAATATCACATCAAATAATTTCCATATGAATAAAAATACATGCACATACAGTATATGCAACCTGCATAATCAGACATGTAATTACAATCAAATATATATATATATATATATATACACACACACACACAAACCGAAATATGGGAGGTTAACAGAGGATCTTACACAGCTCCAACCTAACAAGTTTTCTTATTAAATTTACAAACACACCACATACATTAATAAATGTCCTCATCAAATTCCAATGAACGTGATCATTCAAAATCACCATTAACTACCACCTCTGGCCAGCAACCAAAATTGGTCGGATCACGGTCATTGGCAACAGTGCTACCACAGACAAAAATGTCCCAGGAAAAATATGTTATAAGGAATCAAACTCACAGATGATATAACACTCCAATCCTTACCTTTTAAAAGTCCTATTGCTGCATCATTGGAGATACTGAATGTATCCAGAGATTGAATTATCTGCACAAGACCATTGAAATGAACCCCCATATGATTCCGACATGCACTGCAAATGCTCTGTAGAGAACCTGCAGCTGCAGATGCTTGATGGGGCTGTTGCAAGCAGTACAGCAAGAAATTCAAAATAGGTTCTGAAAATAAAACATTAACTTACAGGCAACACTATTTATCTTTTAATAAACATACAAGAACTTCTGTCTGAGAAGATAAAGAAAGTGAAAAATAACAGTCACTGATGTGACTATGCCAAGAATGCATACAGGAGGCATGGACATGAAGTTCCCCATATTTTAGAATACAATAAAACCTATTAATAATGGAACCTCATCATTTGTTTTGAAGTTTCTGTTTAACACTTTTATTTCTAGGTAAAATAATATATCAGTATTGCACAGTAAGCATCTCATCTACTTACCAACAAAATTACAAGCCAGAAATTTATGCTACACGTGTATTCTAATTTCTCAATACCAAACATTTTCAGTTTCATTTGTTTTTCACATTCTCAAGCAGTTCATTAAAGTATTCTGTGCATATTTTGTTGAGTGCTGGAATTAATGCTTTCCCATCTGTTACAGTAATTTCCATTCTCAGATAAATTCCAATAAGTGCAGCAGTGAAAAGAATTATGTAAACAGAAAATAATGAAGGTTGTGTCCTGTTAAATTCTTACTTTTCATCTACATTTTAACATATACCAGCTTTCATCTATTAAAAGTAAATTTATATTGGATTTCACTCTGTATTTTTGGGACTAGAGAAATGTTCTAATAAAGACAGGTTTCCATTTATTTCAGGTTCTATTTTAGACATATTTTATTGCACTTTAATTACATCAGCAAACATGTGACACAGTTTACCTAGTGACTGTGGATGCCGTTCTATCCACTCACACAATTCACCTAGCAGAAGCACTGATGTATGTCTCACAGCGACATGAGTATTTTCAGGCAAGCTGAGGATGGCTTCCACAACCTTTGGAACAACATCATTTTCTTCACTGGTAAAGAAAAAACCAATGCACTACTTATTTCAGCACCCATCTCTCCAACAACACTTAGAGACTAGAGGATATTACATGTCCCTAATTATAGGTCCTGGAATTGAGTGCCAAAGGTTTAAATTACAGCAGACAGATTAAAGGATGTGAGAGAAATATTACCATTTTTTGTGAATTTTTTATATGTAAAGCTACTTTTTCACACCTGATCCTACATGTGAATGTTACAGCAATATTCAGAAACAGTAATGAAGTAATCCATTTCACTTAATTTTGTTTCACTCCCAGGGCATTTATTGCTGCAAATCTTGACATTTCCGTCACAATTCTAGCATTCCTATGACACATACTATAAGTTTAGGCACATAAAAATGATTTCACCACTTCAACTATGGATATCTCATTATTTTTCTCTGATGGGAATTTGTTTTGCAGAACTGTATAGTGTTATCAGTATCCCTATTTTTTAGTCATAGATGGTAAACTTTGCCCATATTCAGATCAAGTCTATACATCTTGTACAGATAAGTGACGAACCAATTATCTGGCCTGAAAGATGCCCTCACATGGTAAATATCTATTGGGATGTTCATCACTCCAATGCCTACTCCCTTGGCCTTGGATGTATGACACTGGGGAGACAAACATGTGGTCCACATAAGAAGAAATTGCAAAGAGTCACAACCAATACAGTTGTAGCAATATGCTTCAGATGGTCTTACTTCACAGTGATATAAATCAGAGACCGCTAACAATGGCAACTAATAACAGAAGCATTTACCTGTACAACACTGGAAATTCCATGGTAATATTGCAGTTAGTTTTTATAACATGATTTTTTTTAAACTTGACCATATTAATACAATTTCTTGCATCTAAGCTCAAGGTGTCAACCATAAATGCATTAGCCACTTAGCAGACTGATTAACAATTTCAGAAGAGAATACTGAAGGCAATAAACTTTCTGATCACAAATACACAGGAAATATTAAATCTTTTCAAGAGGCATTATTTGAAACTTAAGCTCAACTAAATAATATTCAGAATTCAGTACATACCTCAAAGAAAACAATACACTTCTCTATTACAAAAATCAACTACTTAATGCTGTTAATGGAAATAATCCCCATTTATACTGAGAATAACAAAGCCATAAATACAACTTTATCGATTGTTAAATCAGGTGATACATGCAGTTTCCACTGGGCTTTAAAGGGTTAACCAGAAAAGCACAAAAGTAAACTTACGGCAGAATGTTTTTTGCTACAGCTTGCATGATGAACAAGGCTGCTTCACTGGAGTCCCATGTAACCCCAGGGCCTTGCAAGCTTATAAACATCTGTCTGAAGCAATTGGATGATCCAACAATGAACACAACATCCTTGATAAGTTCCAAAACTTTCAGGCGGAAGTCAGCAAAGTCATCACCATCTTCTAGCAAGCCTTCCTGTTATAATCATATAACCATTAGGTTACACTGTATTCTTGTTCTCTTGAAGGAGAGTCATTGAATTTCAGTTTACACTCAGCTTCCCCTTCATAATGAATTATGCACTGGATTCAAACATTTCCCAAACCCCTATCTTCCAGAAATGTCAACATGCATTGGCAAGGAACAACTCTGTGTGTATGTGTCTCGTATTATAAGCCTTATCCTGTGTGTAAATTGAATACTGAATATGTAAGGCATGTGAATATTGAATCTGCTAATACTAGTTAAGCATGTTTATGTTTAAGTTATTTCTGTGTCCTTTTCAATGGATCATGGCAAAGAAAAGATATACCCAAGACTGATTAAACTTAAACCTCATAATTACCATGAACAACTATAAATTAAAGACAAGACCTTTCTTTTAAAATCATGGAGAATCATTCTTCTTAAAGAATTAATCCAGTAAGGTTACATTCAAAGAAGATGGACAGGACAAGACACAACATGGAAGTGTGAAATACAATCAAAGATATTCTTAAATGAGCATACCAGTCAGATGAAATCAAGGTGTCTGATAAGTAGGACAAGACTTGTACAGATAAATTTTTGGTTTGGGAATGAGATTTACATATGGGAGATAGGAGTTGTTGGTAGAAGTTTAGAATACCTTACTGTTTTAATACATAAATTAAACTGTGAGGAGGAAACAGCATTGGTTCCTCAGACAACAATGGAAGTCATACATCAAATATGGACAGTTGCAACATGTCAATACAACATTTGTTATTCACAAAGGATGACTGTCATGAGGCTGCCTTCAAAATGAGTTCCACAAAACTTGGCCACTCTGTTCAGTATTTGTTAAGAAGTTAGAAATTGAGAAACATAAATACCACAAGCAAGAAATACATGTCAATATAACTTTAATTGAACTTACAGCAATAAACAGCAACTGAAACTAAAACTAAAACTAATTACATCATAAAGAATTAACTTACATGGTCTGGTTCCATTTGACAATGCCGACAAAGAGCTTCTATTAACCTCTCCACGTATGGTTTAAACATTGCTGTGAGCATATCATTGTTCTTCTGATAAAGTTCTTCTGACAGGCGATACCATAAATTAAATGTGATTTCTGCAACCTGACAACCACAAAGCATTTAATTACTATACACTGAATTAAAAATATACCAAAATATCCTCATACCTCTCAATAACAAATACTAAAATATTTTTGTAATATATCACTCTTACAAAACTCATAACAAATATTCCTGAAACAAAGATATAACACAATAAAATTATATATATTTTTGTAATTAAATTCTGTAATTCAAGTTCTGACAATGAATTATATTTTTGTAAGTTTAGGAAGGACTTTATATAGTATGTTCAGTATTTAGGCATGTTGATTTTTATCGTATCAAATTCATTTCTATCATTAAACATACTGCTTTTTCTAAAATGCACTACTCAGGAATCATAAAGATGACACTTTTAATATATGAAATTTAAGATTCTCAGAGTAGTGACGATGTCATGTTAGTTTTCTTGGTTAGAATGCCAAGTGAACTTATCAGTAGATCCCAACATTTCAGAGAAAAAATGGTATCTACAGCCAAACCCAACACAGTACCCCTTTACACAATGCCAACATCACACTGCACCTACAAATGCCTCAGAACAAAAAATCCCTATCTAATTTCAATGCCACCCCTGCTGGCTACCATCCACCAACATCTGCAGTAATACAAATGTGCCATAAAGCCTTATAATCAAGTCCAATATAATGCCATTCCCCAACAATTCTGCATTAACAAACAAAACTTACTCAAGTATGAAACCACCTATACCTGCTTGGAGAGAGAGAAGGGTTATTTGGGGGTCAGTGGTTTTAAACAGCAAGCAGTTAGAGTAAAATAAACTCCCACCCTGTTTTTTTAGATCCATTTTAATATTACCCTCCCATCTATGCCTAGGTCTTCTGAGTGGTCCCTTTATTCAGGCAATCCAATAAAAACTTTGTACGCATTTCTCAGTGTCCCATGCATGCTATATGACCCACCCATCCCAACCTTCTGGATTTTATCTATCTAATAATATATAATGAAGTATACAAATGATGAAAGTCCTCATTATGCAATTTCTCCACCATCCTGTCACTTTATCCATCTTAATTACAAATATTCCCCTAAGCACCCATTCCTCAAACACCCTTAATCGGTATCCTTCCTTCAATGTAAGAGACCCAGTACTTTTTCAGTGGAACAAATAATAACATTCAACATGCTTTGACTTCCCAATAATGATTCAAGCATACATATGAAGTGCAGTTCAACATACATTTGAAGCCCAGGTGTTTACAATAACCCATCACAAAGGAAGTCTCTATAAAATGTAATGCAGGTTGGCTGTAACTGATTTCAAGCTACCTGCTATGCCCATGACATCCTGTGCTTTCTTGCCAACTTATAGTACAGTGTCAAAATGAAGGCTTTCAATTTTGCCATTGATTTGCAAGAGAGAAGAGAAACTGTGATCCATGAAATTTTTAGGCTTCATACAAGAATACAAATAAATGCTAGAATAATGCCCCAGAAAACAGTAGCCCCACATTGTAAATTTTATTACTCATGAGCGATATTGGGGATATGTAAAGCAATGACTGGACTATGCTGGTTTCAATGTGACATTTTATTGACCTGTGAGAAATATTACTTCAGTTACTGCATTAACTTACACTGGAAAATTGAAGAGAGAATATTCAAATAGAATAAAATATAGTGTGTTACTGGAACACGGCACCACATTAAGAGCATATTCTATGCACAAAAAACAAAGAAGTCTATGTAAACATGTGTCCTAGGACACTTCATTTTTGACTCATGACCCATTTTATTTTGAAAGGACAAGGATAAAAAATAATGTGTAAACCCATCCACAGAAAAGAGTTTATTTACAAACCAGAGTCCAGCACATTACTATTTCAACAATAACAAAGTATAAAAATGCTCAAAGTGCTGTCCCTGTTCTTCCACACAGCATGATGAACATCTCATTAAGGTTTCATTGCATGCACTCAGAAATTCCAGGTATTACAAACTAACTTCTGTCCATCTTCTGCCCTCTGCTGCAGCTCTGCTACATTATTAACAGCTACAGCACACACAGTACTTTTAAGATAGCCCCATAAATAAATATCCAGCAGGTCTAAAACTGACGATCTTGTAGGCCACAGCTTGAAAATGAAACATCCATGGACCCATGTTTACATAGACATTTTTCAGTGCTTTTGTGCACAGAACATTCCCCTAAAGTCATGTTGTGTATTTCAGAAACATCCTGTGTTAGAAAATACAATACATAAGATACAGTCTGATTCACATCTCTGACCCCCTGCCCACTAAATGAGGTTAATCTATTTTCAGATCCAGAACAACCTACACAGTGGATTCTACTATTCTCAATGACAAGATATGATGAACCAATGTTTTATGCATATGCTTCAGCAAACATGCTCAACTATTAATTTAATTATAAAATAATTACAATATTGTCATAAGCACTTGTAACAGTGATTCATGATTATGTCAGCAAGCTATTACCACTACCCCCCAGGTGGTGTGATTCATTCACAGTAGTCCGACCAGTTTGGAGGGATGCCACCACTGCCAGCCAAGCATATATAATCACACTGCTTGGACTTTTTACATAGTCTCTGGCTTAAAGTGGAAGGAACTGCCATATCTCATAGCTTCTACAGTGTTCTGGAATGACAATGTGGATGTATAAAACTGCACAGGCTAGATACAGCTTGAGTTGTTGCCACAAGTCAAGACAGAGACTGAGTCAGTTCAGTGATATTGCATGGAGCCAACAAGTATAGAATTGTGTGGAGGCACAGTGAAGTAACAATGTATTACGATGTGAAGAGGACAGTTATATGCAGTGTCAAGTCTAGCAACTCTAATCAAGGCTATGATATATAAAAACTGTCAGAACATTAATAAAGGAAATAATTATATCACTAAACAAAATAAACCAAATTTCATGTGCAATTACCAATTCCATTACAATATTAATTATAGCTACATGAAGATATTTAAATAATTATGTTCTTGTTAATGTATCATGTATACTTGCTGTCAAAAATTATTTCTGGCCTGGTTTTGTCTTACAATTTCTTAACACAGCTTGTATTCTTAATGTGATGAATGCCCATTCCTTTAAAACTGTCCAGCTAAATAACCACCCAGCCAATTATCACAACCAACTGCAGTGACATTATTAACAAGTGCCACCTCCGACATATTGCTAATAACAGATCCAGTAGAAAACGTACCAAGACCAAACAACTCTGCCTCAGTGTTTAAGACAAATATGAGATCACTGATAACATGTAGGATTTGAGGTTTTCACAGCGGTGAGTCTGAAGATGGCTGTCTTCTGGGTTGTTGCACCATGTAGTCTGGTAGAAGTTTACCAGACTACACGGTGCAACAACTGAGAAGACAGCCATCTTCACTGATAACATACCACCACCACAACCATTCATAAAGGTGCTGTGGTGTTGGTACATTTTAATCATGCTGACAAGAACACCTATGGGATACTGATGTCAATCATCAAAAGATTTTAGACTAGCAGAGGCTAATCGTTTGGCAATAACTCAGTTTTGTACTTATAATAATAAAACAACACCCACAGCTAAACAGATGGATATATACACAATATCTACATTATCATGACCACTAGCACAGAATAAACACTGGATTTTCCCCTTTTAGCTGATACAGGGACTGCGCGTGGTGTATCAGATATTTCAACCAAGGCATACCAATCATTAATATGTGCTACATTACTTATTTTGCATATATGAGGTGCGATCGGAAATTTTCAAGACTGTGTCAATAGAGGGCGAACCGGATGTAGTACAAGCTTCTGCCGCTAGGGGGTGCGACCTGCATTCATAGTGAATCAGTGTGCCAGCCGGCATCATCGAATTAGTATTTGTTTCTTAGTTACGGGCGTTTTGGTAGTGCATTACACCGACCCTCCTGCGATTTCGGAATGGCGTGTGCATCAAATTTTGCCAAAGACTCGCCAAAACGGCTACGGAAACCTATGAAATGCTAAAGCAAGCATTTGGGGAGTCCGCAA